TCTGTCTACCCTTGAAGAGGTCCACTTCTTGCATGGTAGAAGAGATCTCGTCATGCAAGCTCTGCAGGAGAGAATCTCCATATAGTCCACACACACATGCTGAGCACAAGTGAGCACCAGTGCAGAAAATGTATAAAGCAGACCCATGTGGAAGGTCCAGGTACAGTACTATATTGTGGCTAGACTGTAACTTGTTATTAAATTCATCAGATTTAAAGGGTAGTTTAAAAATAAAAATCTCTAACTACTTTAATCCCATTTAAATAACTCTTCCACAAAGATAATATTATCTATATTATGTATTTTTAAAATATTATGTGAGACAAGTCCAACTATATCAATTCAACCCTTATTTCTATTAGATCTATATTTATATAAAACTCTGCTACAGTTCTATAATGCATACTACTTTGTATGCTTTACACCATACAGTGATACCAATTATCCAATTAACCGAACTATGATATACTTACTTTCCAAGCTCACATGCTATTTCAGGTAAGGTAGTTGACAATGGTTCTTCAACAATCAGTTTCAGCATGTACCAAAACTCCCCAACTGCTTCTGACAGGAATATGACACTAAAGACAGATACAAAATCAAGCTCTCTGTGAGATGGCTTTTGACAGAAGAGAGACTTATAAAAGCAGAAATTAGAGTTAAAAAAAAAAAATGTTCAACACAGTGAACCATTTTAGTAGCTATCAGTTTTCCACCAGGAATTCCTTACAACTCCATAGAAATGGCTGTGTCTAGATATGCCTATCACAAATGAATAGTGATTGTTATAAATACAAATCCATGGACTGTAAGTTTGTTTCATCTCCCTTCCTTGTTACATATGAAAACTGCCACTTTTCAAAAGTGTGGGGGGGGAAACTAGAAAGCATCTTTAATCTTACCTTACATCTACATTAGTTCACCTGAGTACTAACTTAGATTGAGATTGGGTTCACCTAATATAAAGGGTTACCCCAAGCTTGCAAATGCCTGTACAAATGGCACTGCAGCCCAGCCACTCACTCCCCCACCTGCCCCTCCCACCACCTCAATGTACTCATGCCGGGCTTCCTGCACCACAACCAGGAGCAGCAAACAGCTGCACAAGTTGCTCCCAGAAGCGGCAAACTGCTGCACAAGTGACAAACAGTCAAGGTCTAGGCAGCTTAAAGCAAGCTGGCTGCACCAAATGCTTATTCACACCCTATGAAATTCCATTTTTTCCTAGCTGTTTACAGGACAGTTCTGGCACTTACACATCCAGAGGATGCATACTCCTAGGTATAAGAACTAACTACATATGTGTCCAGACAAGGCGGCATGGAGAGCCTCCTCTATCTTTTCCCCTAAATAGGTGAGTGGCTAGGACACTGATAGAAAGCCAGAGGACCTCAGTTCTAGGCCCCTCTCAACTAGAAGGTGCTTGACCCTCCTGGCCTCGTGCTTTCCAGAATTCCACTAACTGCCATAGCACAAGCCATCTAATCTCTTCTCTGGTGCTCCTTTGGAAGCTTTCCCCAAGGCCAGCCACAATAGGGTGATCTATGGGATATATGTGGGGCCAGAAGGAAGCAAACCAGAGGCATATGGGTGAGGTGAGGTGGCTGCTGGCCTGCAAAGGAGGGGGTCCAGGGTTCTGTCTGGGCCCCTGTTCTGAGTGGAACAGAAGCTTCCCCTCTTGCTCTACCCTCCATCTTTTTTTTTGCCAGTAAGCAGCTCAGCTTCAAAATAAGTACTATAGAAGGAAGTGAATAATGGCTGACCTCTGGTGTGGTGAGTAGAGTGCTGAGATAGGAACAGAGAAGTCCTGGTTGACATATGAGGGCAAAGAGGGACATAAACCCACATATATTTTTTGACTCCTGAGGCTAGTTTGGTACTCATAGCTTTGACTGACTTCATTCTCAGGTGTTCAAAGCTGCTACTCATCCACAAAGGCGCTCACATATTAACTATGATAACTACTACCCACATTCAGTCTAC